TTATAAACTTAACTAAAAACATCTTCTTGATCAGCTTCTGCTTCATTATTTGATTCAAGCTGTGTAAATCCAGTAAAATGAATAGGACGATGTAATTCTTCATAAAATGTCAAGGGAATATCTAATTTCAAATCATAAAGTTCATTTGGATTGAAAATTGCCCCAATAAAGAAATAATTCCAAATATCATCATCAGGTACCATAAATGTCCCCATAATCTTATCAGAAAGAATCAATTGTGCCTTTTTAGAATAACTGCTTGAAAAACCAGGTGGTGCATCAGAAACTAAATCAGCATTCGATTTACCCCATTCATGTCCTTCTTTTGTCAACTCAAATGCAGACAATGTAACGGATCCAGGTGTATATGCCACTGACATCGAAATAAACGACTTGGAAAACTCAGGACAAAGTCTGGAATGAGTAGTGATTTCACTAGGTGTCATATGACTGAAATCTTGTGATTGAGTATGTATCCATCCTAATAATTCTAAATCTTTCAAAAATCCTGTAGGTTCTGGCAAATTGTTAGGAAACTGAATAGTGTTTGTACCTCCTAATTGTGGAACAATTGCAATACATTTCACTTCTTTAACCTCAGCATGATCCGCTGGTGACTTACCATAAAGGAATGCACCAACTTGAATTCGTAAATCCGATATCTGTATAAACTTCTGTAAAATATTCTTGGGGAAAATGTATGTGAATGAATCATCATCGATATAATCTTCAGAATTGACATAAATATTCTTGGCTCTAAGATGTAAATTGTTTGCAGCAATTGCCCTATTTCTCCATTCGTTTTTAGATGAGAAGGTCAGTTGTTCATAATTAGTAGTAGTAACAGTAACAATTTCTTCCCCATGCACATTGGTTGTAGTTGTTTTCAAAGCAGTCAATTCCTTGTTTTCAACTTCAGTTTTAGAACCTTCAATATCAGATATCTCTTGACGTCTGACGGAAGGTGCTCTGATATTCTGTCCCAAAATCAAATCTCTGATTTCTGATTGAGTCAATGATTGAATATTAACATTATATTTCTTAGAATAATCAGTGAGAATTAAATCTCTCAATTGAGTCTCAACGTCAATCCATTGTTCATCCGATAATGTTGGCCATAAATGGTGTTCTTGCGTAACAATACTTGAATCAGGACGTAAAACATGATAAGTCATTTCTTGATTAATTCCTAAAGCTCTCAATAATAAAATCAACCTTGAAAATGCTGTATATGGTGAAATAGTCTTTAACCAATCGTCGTACATATTAAACAATACCATTTGAGGTTCATTTGCCTTAAGAACAATATCGGCTAACTTATCAATTTTCATGGCAGATCCAAAAGGTAAATGAAGCTCTGAAGGTCTAAGTGAAATATTTGGGAAATCTAACATATGTACTTCCAATGGATCCATCATACCCTTTCTTGTGACAATCAATTGTTTAGGTTGTTCTTCTCTGGGTAATGACTTAATCAATGCAGCAACTTCTTCCGCAGTCTTCCATTTAGCCAATTGTGCTAAACGCTTTTGACCCAGCCAAACAGACGTATGAATAATTTTCAAAAATAATTGACCTGACTTTGGGTTCAAGATAAATACACACCCATTAATTGGTTTAGTTGCCAAATTTCCTTCAAAAGTTTTATGAACTGTAACTCGGTAAACATTCGTATCATCAATAAATAATTGGGTATCGTTACTAAATAACTCTGCGTAATTATTTGAATTTAAGAATGCCTCTTGTGGTTGAGCTTGGTATAATTGTAAACCTTTACGAATACGTTCTCTCAAAACATAAAGAGCTGGATTTGCTTTCATGATTTCTCGCATTGCATTGTGAATTAATGGCTTCAATCCTGGGAACCAATTACCATACACATCATACATGTTATATGCCAAATCAATTGCAATAATAATACCTGTTGGTGAAGGATATGTACTAGTTCCATCAGTTGTGTAGTCTAAGAATTTGGCTCTCGCATATCTTGAAATATCATGAGAATCATAATCACCATAACGCAATTGCACGTCAATCCAAAATTTATTAGTAGTAAGTTCCATTTTATCATCTTTGTCATTTAACAACGAGGGTTTCGAAACATTCCATTTATATGTACTTGTCAACACAATATCAGCAGTAGATGTATTCATATTGTATGATTTACGTGGATGGATGGCTTGCTTTTCTACATTATCAATTTGCAATACTTCTAATTCCTTATCAAACACTTGACATAAATCTTGAACAACACTTTCATGAATCTTCTGCCATAAATGAGCTCGAAATATTTGAATCAATGAAATCTTCAATGTTGGAATCTTACCATGAAGGAAAATACCAGTTAAATCAAGTTGCACCAAGAAACCAACGTACACATTTGCTCTATTAATTGTTGGAGACCACCATAAAGTAAAACGACGATTTGGAATTTGACTCAACCCGGACCTTTGGGCATTTGTTAATTTCTTAAACTTCAAAGAATCCTCAAAACCAGATGCTTTTTCCCAAAACAAACCTTCCCACGAATCGAATCCTGTCCCTTTAAATAAAGTATGTTCAAGAATGGTTTCAATTCCTCCCAATGCTTGAATAACATCAGTTCTATATGCATTAAGATTCCATAATTTACCATCATGATGATTGCTTGTCCACCAGAATGGATTGAAACGTGGTAAACTAAATTGTTTAAATTCTCTTCTAATTCTATGACCTTTATCGTAAGCCAATGTATGTCTATCTTTTTGAAACAAGGTACTAATACGAGGTAACCCTCTATCCCAATTACTTTCCATATCTTCAAAAGTAAGACGACGATTCTGCTCTAAGGCTTCTTGACGCTTGATTGCATATTCTGCCCACACTCTTTGAGAATCAAGGAATTCATTTTCCCAAGTTGTAACATATCTAAATATGGTTGGAATCATTTTTTCTTCTTGATGGGACATCCCTGCTCTAAAATGAGTGATTCCTGAATCAGTTTGTGTTGACCATCTGAGATCAGATGCCGGGATTAAAATATGAGAGGCACTCAACATACCCAATCCACCAATTTCTTTTGGAGTATAGAATACAGCTGGTGGGAAACGTGATGGCATTTTCGAATTAAGTCCCATTTTCACTCTGTTCTGGATTTTTGTTTCACATTTGACTAATACATCCAACAATGATTCAGTTGCGACTGCGGCTTCTCTATAATACGTAACCAATGCGATCAATGCGGTATTCCATTTTGCAGCAACTTTAGTAAAAGTAGTTGAACCTGAAGACATTAAGATTTGACGAATTCTATTATTGAAATTATCCACTGCTTCTTGTGAAACTTGAAGATAGGCTTTGGCTGTTCTTTCCTTTGTTGATTGGTCAATGAGGTCCCAAACACCTTCTTTTGATGAATTACTTTCTTTGGCACGAATCTTCGGAAGTATTCTGACTTCAAAACCACACATCAGGAATAACAAGTTTGGATTGTCTCTTGAATAAACCGATGCAAATGTATCCTCAAATTCTATTGATGTAAGAGATGGTGGTATTCTACCACTGATTTCCCAAAATACTGCCTTTCCCAAATTGACATCATGTCTCATTAATCTCATACGTGAATCCCTTGGCCAACAACGTTTATTGTTATATCCGACAACATTTTCAAAGTTTGGATCTGGGTTTTCAGAAAGATACTCTTGAATTAAACCATTACCTTCATCGTTGTCAAATCGGAAAAATATATGAATTTTGTCGAGATACCGGGAATATAAGCGTATAGGTGAGGCGGTTTCAGTTTCTGTATCCTTAAATTGAAGGAAATTGTTCGGATTTTGGACTGGTCCTGCAAGTTCTAAAGCCCTGTCTAAACCTAGAATTAATAAATCTACAACCAATCCATAATATTGATAAACAAAAGATGAAAATTGTAAACCTCGTATTAATCCAAATTGATTCACATGGTTCATATCCTTATATGTGAGATTTACATTATTCTTTGAAGTGATATAATCAGCAATATTAGTATCCAACACAAGTCTTAAAAGTCTATTCAATAATGTGAAATCGATATTCTCAGCAAATTTACTTAAAGAAGTTTCAAGCATAACATTACATTCGCCATTTGAAGTATCCCAAACATTTTCTAAATTATTAATACCCTGACACCATTTATATACCAACAATGGAGGAATTTCATCATCACTTGGTTTAACCCAATTTGGAAAAAGTCTACGTTTGTCCGATTCGTACCATAAATATTGATCAAGATATGCATCAGTGATCTTTTCTAATGGATCAATTGCATAGGTGGGAACAAGGTGACTATAATAATCCATCATTTCTAACCCAACTTCTTTGAAGATTCTTTGCGTAAGTAAAAATTTCTTAATTCTTGCCAAACACTCATGTGGATTGTCATATGCTTGTTCAATCAATGCTAATTCTTCTCTCTGAGCGGAATTCAATCTTGCATTTGCGTTATAACTCTCCTTTAAGTTTTCCAATGCCAAAATCAATAACTTTGTATCATGCTTATATGAGATTGGTGGGAATGGGATCGGACTAAATTTCCTACTTTCTAACCAATGCACCATAGTTTGGAAAATTGCAACTGCTTCATCTGGAGACACGTAGGGTCCATCTTTTCCAAAATTCATTTGCCTTTCTTGTTCATTCTTAATCCATAATCTTGTCAATCTTCCTAAATTCTTCTTAGCTACTGTCTTTTCAACCCCAACACCTTTTTTGATCCTTTCTCTATTATAATGTGCAACTGAAATCCATCCATCTGCTTTAGCTTTGATATAACGTTCGATAATCTTTTCAATTGGCTCAGGTAATCCAGGGACTTTCCAAGGAATATTGGCTTTCCAACATCTCCAAGCTTCACTTAAATGTTGAAGAATAGTTTTTGATTTATTCTGTTTAAGTCCTTCCGGAATCATATCCAAAATATCATGCATAACTTGTGCTCTTAATTCTAAATCATAATATGAATCAACTCTTTGTTTCGTAATAGTCTTAGCCACATCATTTTGTCTTCTTCCTTCAAATTGTCTTGCAATTAAATTTCCTAACCATCTTTCCAATAATGGTACAATTCCTCTCAAGAAAAATAACCATACTCTCCAAGCTGGTTGCCAAAATCCACAACCAGGACCCTTTCCAATAACTTTATTGAAACGGTGATAAACTATGTGTTTAAGATCTTTGCACTGCCTAATTTGATGCATGACTTTGTATTTATATCTATAAATTCCTGTAAGCTGTCCCAAATGATTCAAAATGTAATAAAGTCCATCTGCCAATTGATAAGCATCGACATTTCCCAATCTATATTGAACATGGGAATCAACGATTATTTTAACCACTCTTAATAATTCACGAATTAAATGGAAGGCATTCCCAAATCTTGACCGTTTTCTTTCTTTGGTGGTCAAAGTCTTTGTTGGTTTTAGGTTGAAATTGTAATCTAAATGAAGATAAGTCAATCCCTTTTTATGAATCAATAAATTCAACATGTTAAAACCTTGTCTGCACACTTGTAAACCAGCTTCTACCCAATCTATCGTCGTCTGTTGGAAATATTTAGTTGCTTTCAAGCTTTTCAAAAGATGTACTTTTTTCCGATTCCTAGATTTATTCTTTCGTCCTGGTGGATTATGCAAGTCATTTAAGATATGATTCTTTAATAATTTCTGATATGAAATCCGCACCTTGGTTGTGCTTCCTTTTGGTGCAGGTCGTTTATACCAACTCTTGGTTAACGCAACATCTTGGGCCCTGATCATTTTTCCACTACGACGGTTGAATGGGAATGGTGCCGATAGTAATTGTAACGCTTCCGCAGTTCCTTTCGGTTCAATTGGTAATTCTATTTCATCGTCATCTATTTCCATTTCATTCGCTTCTGCAGCTTCATCTTTGGTATCTTCGTCATCTAAGTCCCATTTGAAGAAAGGCTCAAAATCTAAGTCTAAATCTTCTTCCTTTTCAGTTCTAATTTCAATTGGATTATCCTTAGGTAGAATTAAATTATAATTGGAATTAAACGTAAATCCTTCTGTATTCTTCCTTTTGCTTTGGTTGCAATTTATTACCGAATGACACGGTACAAGTGAGACATCCTTTACAAATGAATTGTACAAATATGGAAATGAAACTCTATATTCAGTACGAATTGGTATCCGGAAAATTATTCTATCAATAGCATTAAATTCAGTAAAATCCTCCAATTCTGGATTATTTCTATTCTCTTTAAATCTTGGTTCAAATTTAGGACCCCCAGGTAAAGAAACATTTAAATTCTTAGCAGTAAAGAACGCCTTCTTATTAAATAAATGATTCTCATTATTATTCTCAAGCAACAAAGGTTGAGAAGTTTCATACAACTTATTCATCGTTTCTAAATCCAAATTCCATTTCCTGTATGAATCACCATTCACAAAATCCAGATCTTCAACTAGGGGTTTTTCGTCATATATCCAATCACCCACCACTTCATCCAGTTCAATCTCGGATCTAATTGCCGGCAATGGCTCAACATCTTCCAAATTCTCCAGCCAATCAAGCGGAGGTTCTTCATCATCAAATGGTGGGAATCTCATTCTTTTAAAATGTTTCCTGTCTCGTTTTTCACGTCTCATCATTATCCAACTATTCGCCCATTGTGCAGTATATACCGGTTCAATAACACGAGGAATCTCATTCACGAATGTAATCGCACCAGTAATGTGATATAAGACTTTGACTTCTTTAGTTTGTTCCCAAGGTTGTGGCATATTTTCTAATAATTTTAATAATGCATGAGGTAAATATTTCAAAGAACCTAAATGAGATAATTTATCCAGAGCCACTTTTTTGGAAGATAGATCGCCATGATCAATCATGATCTTACGGAGATGTTGAGGTGGCATTTCTGGTTTGGTTGGTTGAACTGTTCCTCCCTTTGATGTAAGTTTTTTGGTTTTAAATCTATCTTTTTGAATTTGTAGCCATATTCTTTTACGTGATTGTAAGTCTTGCTTGCTTGTGTCTGGATGTGGTCGTTTGGGAGTATGAGATGGAGGCGGTGGACGTGGTGGTGTTAGTCCGGTTGGTGGTCTATTGCTTGTTCCAGAAGGTGGTGGCGGTGGAGGTGGTGGTGCTCTCAGTCTGATGGAACTTGTCAGTGGTGGAGGCGCAACATTATTTCTGGTCGATAAATTGGGATTATTCCTTCCAGGCATCCCAGGAGGAGGTGGAGGTCTCTGTGGAGGAGGAGGAGGTGGTGGTGGTGGTAACTTCCTTCCCATTCTTTATATTATGATCAATTGATTGAATACTAAAATGAAGAAGTGAATGCTTTGGCTTTGTTTGTGTTTGCTCTTCTCATTAAATCTTTTTACAACCAATGTCGCAAATAATCAATGTCGCACAGTTGTAGCGACATCCAGGGTTGGTCGTGTATATGTTTCAAAAAGCAAAGAACTTTGTACATTTGATTCCGGTGGTGTGTGGATATCAATCAGTTATCCGGTTTCATCTTTTTACGGTCTACAAAAAAGGGGGTCTAAGCAATAGTGAAGGACATGCCTTCGGATATATTAATCACAGGAAGTAACATAACCAATGCTACAACCGGAAGTACTATTATCGAAACACAAGAAGAAACCGAAGATTATTGGGTTTTAGTTAAATTATTGACAGCATTTATAGACGCAATATGGGAACAAAGTGAATCATCAACAATTAATTCAATTCCTTGGAATAGATTAGGTGCAATAAGCACCTATTGTTGTTCGATATATGGGTTTTCATGTTTGATTATGGCACTTATACTAAATCGAACTTTGGTTATGGCCTCCACAAATACGACACACAATCAACAAATAGCAATTAATAGAAATCGTGGGTTGATTTCGGCCCAAAAACTGGCATTTATCTTAAAGAATTTGAGTATTATATCGTTACGTATTGGAGTAGTTGGAGTTTTGTTGTATAGTGGATATAATGTTTTGGTTGCTTTGAATCTTTTGAATCATATTGGCTTACCTGATAAGAATCTTAAATGGTTATATGAGTTGTTACCAGATAAATATTTTGCATATGATGTTGGGTATTATTCAGATACGAAATATATGAAAACTCCTAATTCACAAGTAATGATTGGACCTACTAGTGATATGTATTGGCCAGTATTTTTGAATTTTTGTTTATCTTCATTTACAGAAACTTTGATTGCCCTGATTGAAGGTAAGAAACCATATACTGAAAGTGGGATTACAATTTTTGAACATTCCTTGGCATTTCAGGAATTTAGTAGTAATGGGGCTTTCTTTTTTGGGAATTCTAAATTTCATAAAAGACCTACTGAACAAGTATTAATCACTACTTTGTTTCTGATTCTTAATCATTTAAATATTCATATTGGGGCATTATTGAGTAAGAATAGATATAGATTAATTCCACTGTCAATTATTGGAATTGGGTTTTTAAGTTATTATATTTCAACATTTTCCAATTGGAGAGTATTACAATTCCCATTCATATTGATTTTAACATTTACTCCGCAAGTACTCATTCTCATAATTATTGCTATAAGTTTCGCAATATTTATAATAGCTATAGTTGTCAATGGTTTTGAAATAAAAGGATTAAATTATGGAAGTTTTTTCTTACATGAGTCAGCCGATGAAGAATCTGGAGGATTTGGTTCATTAAACTTATCTATCAGTCTCAATGATGATTTCTACACTGCATTATTAAATATGGGAATGTTGGCAATTACTCTGGCTGGTAAATCGAGTTATATCACAGAGCTTAGTCTTGTAACACTAGATGATCAAACATGGTTGGAAAGATCTATTTGGCAACAAATTAAGGATAAATTATCAAAGGATCATCGTTCCAATAGAGACGTAATTACGTATTTAAGAGAGAATAAGATGAGTGGATATTGCAATATAATTTCGAAACCTACACAAAGATTAATTTCTGGAGGACCAGAATCTGAAAGTGTTGGCGGAGGCGGTGAATCTGATGAAAAAGATGCCAGTGTGTGGAGAAGAAGAGCTAAATATATGAAAGAGATGCTTATAGATACTTGGCAATTATTATATGGATTAATTGTAGATTGGTTTATATTGGAATATGTACCTGGGTTATTTAAAAGAAAAGTCTTGCATCAACATTTAACAAGTATTAGATTTTATGAAGAAGAAACAGAAGAAGAGTTTGCTCGTAGAAAGGCCAAAACTCCTCAATTTTTAAAGAAATATGTCAAAAGAAGAATTGGTGATCCATTTACTGGTGTCTCCTCGATAGATAAATCTAAGAAACCGGAAATTGCAAATACTGATTCATATTCAATAAAAGATTTTCAAAATGACTATGTAACTATACTTTCTGGCAAACAATTATCTGAAGTTGACAATTCAGAGGATTATCATGAACCAAGTTATGAATCAGAATCAGAATCAGAATATGAATCTGATATGGAGGAAATACATACATTGGGAGCCTTAAGAGCAGCAAGAGGGGCAACAACATCGACAGATGTAAGCTCTTCTGCCCCTCTCCCAATCCAGGAGCTTTTCACCGTAGAAGAGTTTAATGAGTTATTAACGTCTTCATCGACTAATTTGGATATATTACAACAGCATATGCATTCTGATGGAGTTATGACCAGGTCAAAGTATAGAGCATTAAGACGTCCGTTAGAACAAAATCAAGAATTATCAAATGATGAAAGTAGTAAATTATTAGAATTAATTTTATCCAAAAGAATGCCTCGGGAAGATGAGAATAGTGTAGGTGATGACGAGTTTGATACTCATTCATTGTCATCTTCAAGATTAGATTGTGTTATTTGCCAAGTTAATACGAGAGAAATAATTACTTGGCCATGTAAATGTTTTGCTATATGTGAATCTTGTAGATTGAGTTTAGTATCAAAAGGTATTGAAGGATGTGTTTGCTGTAGAAGAGAAGTCGAAGGTGTTTCAAAGGTATTTATACCTTGAGTTCTATTTTTGTTATATTTCATGGGTTTTTTTGTATTCTGTGTTTTTTTGTATATTAAAGTATTTGGTATTAGTTTATAAGAATGAAAAATTATGGGAAGTTATTAGAAATCGGTTGTTGTTTGTACAAAATTTATAAGGTCCATAAATATAGAGATCTGGATTTATCATCTCAAACAAAATCTCAAAGACATGGTCCCAAAAGGAAACGCTAGCATGTCAGCATCTTCTGTATTAACATACTCCTCAAGATCATCGTCCAACAACATCTCAACAAT